GTCCTACTCTTCTCTGTCCAACTCCACGAGCCATTATTCTAATCTGGAGATGTGAAATTGCCTATAATTTTCCCTGATCTCCCCCCCCCCCCCAACTGCCTCTTCTTCTTCTTCCTCCCCAGGCCTGCGTGTTTGACAAGGCAGATGATCACCAAGAATGATGGAAAAGCGGGCACGAGGCYTGTATATATATGAAGAAGGTGATGTTAAAATAGCACAATGCTTGTCGTTGTGTTAGAGGGGGGTGCGGGGGGGAAAAATCCAACTTGGAGGGCTAAAAAACGCAGAGATCTGGCGCATGCTTTGTTCGTCTCGGGCGCAGCAGTGAGGGGCTCCGGGGCTCCTGGAGACAAGGCGAGGTAAGGATTGAATGCTGACTGAATGGCTGAGTGTTCTGGGGAGCAAAGCTGCACGAGTAGAAACGTTATTCTGCAGCATGTACTAAATTTAAAAAGTGAAACTTGTTAATGAAATAATTGTTTTTCTCACAAACAGCCGTGAGCTGCAAGAATCTCTGAGATGAAAAAAAAAAGAATATCTATAGAGTATCTATAGCTGCTAATATTAGAGAAAACATCTGAGAGAAATCGGATGCGTTTATTTGTTATTTTTCTAATCCCTGGTGTGACACCAGACAAATGGCTCTCAGGGTTTTGCCAAACAGCCCGAGCAGCAGGGTGATGAATGAGAAGCGTAAAAAGAAAGCCACTGGATTGTTGCTTTAATGCGCTTTTCCAGCTCCATTAATCATAGATCAGCTCTCCATGTAATCAGCTCGGACTGTTTGGGAAGACATAAACAGCTGATTCTTGATGATTAAACAGCACCAGGCTGAGTGGATCCGTGCGTAAAAGCAGGCGCAGGTCTGACGCAGGGATGGCACACTCGTTCATCATGGTATTCTGTCAGCGGTGGGTTTCGTTTGAAGTCAGTGTAGAGGGACAACATTGTTAAAACGCCTTGCTTAACTCAGACTTCTTTAGCTTCTACGCAGGACTTATTTTTGATTTAAAAATGTGGCTGTTGTCCTTTTATTTATCTCCTCTAAAATTTGGTTAAATCATTTAAACGGTGCGTAAAAGTTGTTCCGTGCGTAAAAAATTCAATTTGTGCATAGCATCTCAGATAATTTAATTTCACCTACACGAGATGAGGGTTCATGTTTTATGTTGGGGTTATTTCCCTTAAATTTAAATAAAGTGAAATATTCTAATTACATAATTAGATTTTTTATACTATAAATAAACTTTTTTCAAAACAAGTTGGGATTTTTGATGACACATTCGAAATTTTATCAAAAAGTTGATCTTTAGTGCTTCACAAGTCTCTACAGTAATAAATCACAAACATAACTATTAAATCATAAAAGCTTTTACAAGCACGCACAGTCTGGCACACTCATTAATCATAGGAGTCACCGTTTTTTTAGGATGAAATATAAAATATTAAATGTTTTTTAGAAGTATTTATGCAAAAACAGCACTATATTTATTTTTAAGACATGCACATGTGTACCAAGGTCAAATTTCTTCGAGTAAAGCTAAAATAAATCAACGCACACAGCATGTTTTTTTTTCCAAAATTCCTTTATACAGAACACACATATTTCATGCAGAAGGAGCTGCAAAAACAAAGCAAACCTCAAAAGGACAATTGCTGGTGCCTGCTTGAATTTCTGCACCAGAGAACACGAGCAAAGTCTCTTAAACACACATTTAGCTCCACGTGAGGAAAAAAACAAAAACAAAAACAAAAACAAAACAAAAAAAAAAAAACAGTTCAGCTCAACGTTTCGCTCCAAAGAGGCCGAGCAGCTGCGACATGTCCGCCCACTCACATCAGCTGAGGCCTGGGCATGGCGTCCTGGTGTGGGTGGTGGTGATGGTGGTGGTGGTGGTTCGGGTACCAGTGGCCAAAAGTGTTCATGTAATTGTTCGGGTGCATTGGCCCCCCTTTGGTCGCCATGGAGACCTCCCAGAGCTGGGGCAGAGCTGGGGAGCAGGGGGACGCGGAGCTGGTGCTGTGGAGGTGTTCTCCCTCCGAGGCGCTGCCGTGCTTCATGATCTTCTTATACTTGGAGCGTTTGTTCTGGAACCAGATTTTCACCTGGAAGGGAGAACAAAGGGAGATGAAAAATAAATAAATTGATCACTGTGGTGGGAAATACAACCAATAATCCCATCAGATCTGTTTTTTTTTTATTTAGGCCTCAGGAGGAAAACGAGACTTTTATTTATACATCAACTATTTATTTATTTAGACTTTTATTTATACATCAGCTGAGAATGAAGAAATAAAAAATCAGGTCGGAAGCAGTGCTGATGGTCAAATCAAACAGTGCAAAAAAATTAAAATAAAATAAAAACTACAAAACAAACAAAGAAACAACACTCTGGGTCCAAATGAGAGGTAAGTGCAGGAAAGACAACCAATGAGCCGAGTGGAGCTGTTAGAGGGGAGTCAGACTGAAGTGGTGCAGGAGGCTCGTGTGTTGGAGAGGATTCTGTTCAACTTTTTATCTGCGCTTCATCTGGATCGTCATTTTGGACAAAAAAAAAAAAAGTAAAACAACAAGCTCGTGGACACCTGCCGGAGAATGAGCGTCCGACATGTGCACCTGTCCATCCCAGGTATGGAACGCGCGCGTGCACGTGTAGCCACGTAATCATACACCTGCAAATCCTCCCAAATCCCCATAAAAAGGCATTTTAAATCTAAAGTAAGCAAGAAAGCAAAGAAATAAACAGTATTTCCCACATTATGTGACCTATTTTAGACTGCAAAACTTGAGAATTTTTGTTCATTTAATACTTATTTACATATTAGTTCAGCTTATTGTGCTTGTCTGTTCAGTCAGGTCTCTTTAAAGACCAAAACTGACTTAAAACAAACAGAAGCCACATTATAAGTTCAGTAAATAAACGATGCCTTAAAGGATTGAGCAACAAGTTTGACTTTCTCTCTGATGCGCAAAATCTCCGTGATCCCACAGTAAAAATATTTCCCTTTTAACATCCTGAGTCACTTTTTCCTTTCTTTCGGCTTCTTTCCCCACAAAGTTATTGTAGTGGGGGGAAAATGCACAATTAGCTACAACACACAGACTGACAGCCTGAAAACTGACGCAATGAAAAGTCTGCAGAGGAGAGTCTCAAAGTCCCACCTGAGTCTGTGTGAGGCCCAGCTTGGCCGCCAGGTCTGCGCGCTCCGGTAAGGCCAGATACTGGGTCTGCTGGAAGCGCTGGTGTAGAGCCTGTAGCTGCAGACTGGAGTAGATGGTCCGAGGCTTCCGGATCTTTTTGCCCTTTCCGTTCACCAGTCGGACGTCCCTGTCCTCAGACACCGAGGACTTGTCTCGATCTTACAGGAGAAACAAAAACATTTTCAGGTCAGGAAACAGAGTTTTGGGAACTAACTAACTAACTAACTAACTAACTAACTAACTAACTAACTAACTAACTAACTAACTAACTAACTAACTAACTAACTAACTAACTAAC